GAGGGAGTTGGGTGCATAAGGCAACCGGGGGCGTGTAAGGCATCTGGGGTGTGCAAGATTGCAGCGGGTAGACCCTGAGTATGCAAGTGGCAGCTGGCAGACCCAATGAGGCAGCGATCATGGAACAGGGCAGAGCACGCAATCTCAGGATCCCAGAGAAGGGACTGAGGTCCCATGGAGAACGGAGCTACCACCATTGTTCCCTCCCGAACCTGCCCCCACATACAACATCACAATCTAGCCACTGGGGTGCCCAGCCCTGGTGAACACCTAAGGCTCCACCCCTCACCATAACAGGAGTGACCAGACCAAAAAAAAAAAGAGAGAGAGAGAGAGATGGCTCAAACAGAAGAACAAATCAATGCTCCAGGACCCATCCTTTTAAGCAACTGAGAGATAGCCAATCTATCAGATGCACAGTTCAAAACACTGGTGATCAGGAAGCTCACAGAATTGGTTGATTTTGGGAGCAAATTAGATGAACAAATGCAGGTTACTATAAAAGAAATGAAGAAAAATGCACAGGGAACCAATAGTGATGGGAACAAAACTGGGACTCAAAACAATAGAGTGGACCAGAAGGAAGAAAGAAATAGGAAAGAATGGAGAAATAAGAATTCAAAAAAACGAGGAGAAGCTTAGGAACCTCCAGGACATCTTTAAACATCCCAACATCCGAATTATAGGGGAATCAGAGGGGAAGAGGAAGAGCAACAGATTGAAAACGCATTTGAACAAATAATAAAGGAGAACTTCCCCATTCTGGCAAAGGAAATAGATTTCCAGGAAGTCCAGGAAGCTCAGAGAGTCCCAAAGAAGTTGGACCCAAAAAGAAACACACCAAGGCACATCATAATTACATTAGCCAAGGTAAAAATGAAGGAGAGAATCCTAGAAGCAGCAAGAGATAAGGGGACAGTAACCTACAAAGGAGTTCCCATCAGACTGTCAGCTGATTTCTCAAAAGACACCTTGCAGGCAAGAAGGGGCTGGAAAGAAGTATTCCAAGTCATGAAAGACAAGGACCTATATCCCAGATTGCTCTATCCAGCAAAGCTTTCATTTAGAATGGAAGGGCAGATAAAGTGCTTCCCAGGTAAGATAAAATTGAAGGAGTTCATCATCACCAAACCCTTATTTTATGAAATGTTAAAGGGACTTATCTAAGAAAAGAAGATAAAAAATGTATAGTAAAAGGACAGCAACTCACAATTACTAACAACCACACCTAAAGCAAAACCAAAAGAAACTAAGCAAACAACTAGAACAGGAACAGAACCACAGAAATGGAGGTCACATGGAGGGTTAGCAACAGGGGAGTGGGAGGAGGACAGAGGGAAAAAAAAGTACAGAGAATAAGTAGCATAGATGGTAAGTAGAAAATAGACAGGGGAGGGTAAGAATAGTATGGGAAATGTGGAAGCTAAAGAACTTAAAAGCATGACACATGGACATGAACTAAAGGGGGGGATGTGGGTGGGAGAGGGTGTACAGGGTGGAGGGGAGTGAAGGGGGGAATGGGACAACTGTAATAGCATAATGAATAAAATATATTTAAAAAAAGAAAAAATACACTTTTTTCAGAAATAATCAGAATAATCGTTTATATATCAGAAATAATCATTTCTGATTCTATCTTATATCTTATTCAGACTTTGCTGAGTCCTCCAGCTCCTGTTCTGGACTGAGCTCTCACCAGCACCCTGGTCACACTCATGCCCTCCTTCCCACGCAGGAATTTCTGCTCTCTTCATTAACTTCACCCCAAAGAATCTAATAATAGGCACATTTCAGGGTAAAGTCCTCTTGGACGTTACTGTAGGGGTGAGGATATAGGCAGGCCTTTGCATTTTAAACCTTGATTTTCATCCTGAAGCAAAAGCCTTCATTCCTATTAAATCAAAGGGGAGGTGGGGAGGGTCTACTCTATATTTTAATTTTCTTAAAATCTGTCACCATGTTCTCTTACATACTTAGGTTTTGAAAGCCCTGCCCACAGCCATTCTTTGCTGTGAAAATGTAGCTTTAAATACATCTATAGTTACCTATGCAAGATTCTGACTGCCAAAGAAACCTACTCAGCAAAAACTTTGGGGACCCCAGAGTTCGAAGAGCACTAGACTTGGAGTAAGGTGATCTAGGTTCTTAGCTGCACTTGAACTAGATGTGTCATCTTTGACAAACCCTTTATTCTCTCTAACCAATAACTTCCTAATCTGCTAAAAGGAGCTATAACACCTGTTCCTCTAGAGTCACGGGGTACTTCTAAGCATCTAAGGAACTAATGGACATGAAAGTACTTACCAACAGTAAAGAGCTACACAGTGTGAATGATGTTGGGCATTCTGAAACTTCATTAAACTTTGTTCCTAGTTCCATTTTCCCTACTTTAGGTCAGAATAAATACATTGACCCATTCAATTTAGACAAGAATAAAGAATAAGACTAAAGTCTCAGAATAATTGAAAGTTTCAAGTTAAGGTAAAATGATTACTCTCTTCAATCATAATATGAGATCTGCGAAACACTTATTAGAACTAATAACTTGAGTTGCTTTTACACAATTCATCTGTAAAACTTAATTTGTCAAGAAATAGCAAATTTTTTTTGCAACCTGAGTGAAACCTGAATGGGGGGATTGGCGCTGGTTTTGAATTGATGTCATATTGAAGTAGCAAACTGTTAATGGTATGAATGTGGAGTGCAAATGAAAGATTTTAGGAATTAGAAATTAATCGATTGTATGTATTGAGAAGGAATTCTGTTCCTAAAATAGATGTGAGACTATTTTCCAAATATTATACAAAATTCCAATGCTTAAAAATATCACTCACTATATTAATACACACAAATACACGCACATGTACATATTCTTCCTATCGCTTCTTTGAAATCAGGACTGTGAGACAGCTTCTGTCATCAATTATTCTTGGAATTTGATGAAAAAATGGAAAGAATTTAGAATCAGTCACTCTGGGTTCCATCCACTAAGGAGCTATTTCCCTCTCCCGAAAAGGGAGGCAAGACTGCTCACCTAAGGCGCCTGACTCGCAGACCTGTTCTAAGGACCCAGTGTGCTGTATGGGAAAGACAGGTACAGTCGAGCGGGAAAGGAAAGTACAGTTTTGCTGCTTTCGCGACCTGGGTAGCTGTGCACTGAACGAAGCAGTTAAAGGAAATCAGCTCTTCCGAACTGGAAAGCACTTTAGTGAATAGAAAGGCAGCTCTCTCTACTCCAAGTCTGTTTTTTTCATACCATTTCAAATGTGGGTGAGAGGAAGGAGGGTCAGGGGTGTTTTAGAACACGCCCCCCCCCCGCCCCCAATGTTTACATTTTGTCATTTCGTTCGTTCATTCAACAAATATTTCTGAGACCCTTGCTGGGTGCGGGACACCGTGTTAGGCTTGGGAGCCACAAATAGAAAAGGACTCAAAACGCGGCCTCTGGGAGCCCCTCGTCCAGTCTAGGGAGCAGACACTAGACGTAGAACATCTGGACAGCGATACCATGCTCGAGTAGGTGAAGCTCCCGCAGCAGCGGAGCAACTGCTGGTGGCTCCCGCCGCAGCCTCCCGCCACCCTACTGAGCACCCGGCGTCCGAGTCCCCATGGCAACCAATGGGCGAAGGCTGCCAGGCGGCAGGCACTGAGAGTGAGGCGGGAAGCACCGAGGCTACGCGGGCAGGGAGGCCCAGGCGGCGGGAGCACGGCGGTCAGCGGCGGGGCCCCTGGGGCGGGCGGGCGGGCTGGGCGTGACTCCGGTGTTACTGTTCTCCGGGCAGCAGACCTCTCCAGGGAGTGCAGTGCTGTGCCACGCAGGTAACCCGCTCTGGCCTCCCCGACCCGCCTCTCTCCCATACCCTAGCCCCACCGACCAGACTTGCCGGAGGGGCGGGGGTCCCCAACTAGCTGGCTGCCCCTTGGTGGCTGGGCTTGAACCCTGCACAAATCAAGGCAGGAGGCTGGGGCGAGCGGAGGAGGGTGGAGAGAGCCCGGGATGCCAGGATGGTCCTTGCAGAATCCGCAGCAGAGGTTCTAGCTGTGTAGCCTTGGACAAATCACCTAGGTTCACTGTGCCTCAGTTTCCCTGATGTTTAAGTGAGGAATTGAGAACCTACGAAATGAATTTATTCATTTGTGCATTTTTCCGCAACCCTGCTCCTTGCCCCTCTTCAACACACACTATTCCACGGCCTCTTTTAGATCCTTTGATTTCAGAGGGACAGGAGCGCAGGGGTTGGTCGCCTTCCTCCTCTTTCTACCATCTTGAATGCTATTTAATTGACTTTTATTCATTAATTCAGAGGAGTTGAATACCTTCTCAATACTTTATCCAATTATTCTCACAACTGCTTTTCAATGAAAACTTTGTTGCTAGGAAAAGGTTTTTTTTGTGTTTGTTTGTTTGTTTGTTTGTTTGTTTGTTTTACTTAGGCAAATACTCATACCCCTGTTTTGTCAAAAGGGTGAGCAGGTGCCCACAGAGCCTTTGAGGAATTGTAAGATTTCTAGTTTTAGGAAATTCTTAGTCTTTTTGTCCTAAATCTCTAACAAAACCCAGATAGAGCCAAATAAATGCTTTACTCAAATAAAAGCAAACATTTCAAGAATCCACAAAAAAGTTTGAGAGCATTTAGCTGGAACTTCTCTTGAATAAGAATTCTATTTTACTTATCTCGTGTACCTAGCACAAGTTGCTGTTCTGTATACAGTGAGTGAATGCTCCAGTGAGTAAGTACCACATATATCTACCCATCACTAAGTCAATGTGTAAATGCATGGGGAGACACACGTGTGTGCGCACACATGTCAAAGTTTCTACATTTTTGTAGAACCAAAAGCTACTTCACTCAGAAAAACTCTTACCAAATGGTTTGACAGAAGCAAAATTTTCTAGTTTTATAGATTAATAAATGTTGGCATTTTAGGAATCTAGACCATTTTTCCCCCTTATAGGTTAAAAACCAAGAAATATAAACCAGATGCAGCAGTTTTTCGACATGGAGAACCAAGCCCATAACACAGTGGGGTAAGTGATAAAAAAATTCTATTTAATAAGTTGGCACTTAACTATGCTCAAAACTCACTGATGATGCCTGAATTTTGAAACTTAGTATTAATAGAAGGATATGCCCGTTATTTCTGGTGAGGAAGGTGGGGGAAATTCCAAGGGACTTTAAGAATATATAGTTTAAGTCCAATTTTGACTATAGATTTACAATTGAAAAATCACCATTTTCCAACTTTCAGTAAGTTTTTTTAGTGTTGTAGGGTGAAGGATGCACACACAGGCCCCATGTGCTCTTGGGTTTCCATAGTGTCGCAACTCCAGGCCAGCTTGCTCCTTTTTCTTTTCTCTTCTCTTTTCTCTCCTTTCTCTTCTCTTCTTTTCTTTTTTCTTTTCTTTCCCTTTCCTTTCCTTTCTTTTCTTTTCTTTTCATTTCCTTTCTTTTCTTTTTTCTTTTCTTTTCTTTTCATCCTCACCCAAGGATATGTTGGTTTATTGATTTGAGAAAGAGAGAGAGAGAGAAATATTGATTAGTTTACCTCCCACATGCACCCCGACTGGGGATCAAACCCACAACCTAGGTATGTACTCTGAACAGGAATAGAAGGTGTGACCTTTTAGGTGTACCAGATGGTGCTCCAACCAACTGAGCCACGCAGCCAGGGCCAGCTAGCTCCTTTCTTGCTGTACCAAGTGTGCGATCACCTCCACACTCATCCTTAAGACTGAACTCAACACAGACATAGCCTCAGAACAGATTTAGCTCCTCAAAACAGCAACAAGAACTGGAAATTTTGCCAAAAGTTTCATGGAGAGATAATAAATATAATTTGTATAGTTTTTGCCATCATAAAAATTAAATTCTTTTTCACAAATATCTGTCCCCTCCCCTCTTCCCTGCCACCTGCACCACAAAGGTTTGTCTTCCTATTGCTTCATTAGCTAACTGGCCACTGGCTGACCCCAGAGATAAATGGGGGTGTGGGAAGGGCAGTACCACAGGGAGGGGACTTGCCTATTTTGACTGTGACTGATTTTGTCCTAGTCAGACTACTGCAGGTATTTCACTTTCAGTTTTTCTGCTCAGACCACGACTTTGACATTAGGCCATAAGAAAGCTGCACAAGTGATAACTCCAGCTATCACTTTTTTAAGTCCTACTGCATACTCCCCTGTCCTACTAGGCATTATTGTCCTTGCATAACTAAGAACTTGGGCATACTAGTTAGAATATAGTCTAAGCTCTTTTTTACCAAAAGATCTCAAAATGCAGTGGTTGAAATAAGATTGAAGTGCATTTCTGTGTCATGTACAAGTCCAGATATAAGCAGACCAAGGCTGGTAGAGCAGCTCTGCCATCCTCACTACAGGATTTCCCTCTCTGGGCCCCAAGTGATTTCTTCAGCTCCATCATCATGGGCCGTTCCCCTGCTGGAGGAAAGGAGGGAAAGGCAAGAGGAAAGAGTAGGACCATTCCTTTTAGAAGTATGACCTTGAAGTATCAGGCCTGACTTTGGTTCACTTCCCACTGGCCAGAACTGAATTCCAGAGCTATGGGCACTGTGAGGAAGGCTGGGAAATCTGGTCTAAATAGGCAGCCATATGGCCAGGTAAAGCTTAAAAGCTTATAACAAAAGGAAGAAGAATGGATACTGGTGGACAATTAGCAGCCTCTGCCACATTGAGCTCAGCAAGTTGGAAAAAAGAGAAATAAGGCAGGAACTTGCACCTAATATACAGCTGGTTAGTGGAGGAGGTAGGATTCAGACATGTCTGGCTCCAATCCCGGCATCCTTTGCTACACTGGTAATGGATGGCAGTGAGATGTGGGAGCAGCCTGCCTAGTATCTTGATAAGATTCTGGATTGAGCAGGCATTAGGTCCTTGGCACAGGCACAGAAAACCAAGATGCAGGTTGAAGGTCTCGAACCTAAGGTTGGGTACCAGATATCACCTCCCTGCTCTTCCTCTTCATTCATTCTTTTGGGAAAAAAAGTATGGAGTACTGAATGTATGCCAGGCACAACATTAATCACTATGGATCATGCAAAGATCATTGAGAAACAGACCTTAGAGAACTTAGAGTTTGGTAGGAAACCATAGAGTTTGTTTGGGTACAACATAATTAGAAAGCAGAAGTGAATGAGAATTACTGAAAGTGTCCATGAGGAAGTGCTCCACCCTCACAGCAGACGTGGGACCGGACATTGTCCTTCGTGCTCTCCAAAGCATAGAGCCAGGCCGGCTTAGCCTCAGTCTCACATGCTACTGAGAAATATGTAAAAATCTAGATAATGAAGACAGTCTAACATCATTCATCAGGATTTGTTACGTGCTTATCAAACCATGCCACCTACATATACAATAATGTTTTGTGGAGCAACTTTCATTTAACATACATTTACCTAAAGTCTGCTATGACCCTGTCATTGGCGAAAGCACCAGGAAGATAGCAGTGAACAAAACAGAGACCACTGTTCCCAGGGGCTGACACATCAGTGGGAGGGATGGTGGGAGAAATAAATATGCTTCATACAGTGATATGAACAAAATAAAGTAAGCTAAGGAGGAGAGGAATAGAGTGTGAATGGGGTGGTCAGACTAGGATTCCTGGTAAGGTGCCATTTGAGCAGAGATTATATCTGGGCAAAGAGAGTTCCAGACAGCAGGAACAGAAAGTGTGAAGGCCGAAGTTGGTAGCTTTTACACAGGACATTTATAATGCAGGTGAATCATTATTCTCTGACATCTGGGTTACTAACAGGGTTTGATTTTAATTTATCCATGATTTCTCCCAACTGTAGGTGTTTGTATTTGTGCCATAATAATCAATCTAAACTCCTTATAATAGAAACTAAGTATCACTTAGTCATACTTAAGTGAGTTGTGATTCGGACCCTGGCTCGTGGAATCCACCACATTGTGGATGAGACATGAAACATTCACATGGACTACCGAGTCCTGTGAAGGAAAAGGACGAGCATGGCTTTTCTCTCAAGGGGAGCAAAAGCCTCAGCCTTTGCCATGATAGGCCTTTATGTCTTTTCTGGGCATATTACATGATGATCCTCATTTACTATGCATAGGTTCGCTTTAGGTGGTTACCTGTTACAGAAAACAAAGGAGTCAATGCCGCTAATCACATCACAGAAGAGGGATATTTGCAAATGCAAAGGCAAAAGTGGTTGAAAAGGTTATACTCCATACTGGGGAGGTATAGCACAGACTTTAGGAAGTTACAATAAGCACTTGCTGCCTCAATTCAGGGTGAGGGAGTTTTAGCAAAAGCAAGTCTCATAGCAGTCTAGGTAAAATGCAGGCCTGATTCCCCATGGGAGAACCTATCTGTGGGTATGGGTCCTGTGCATCTCTGAGTGGGAGCTGGGCCCACACCATGCAGAATGATCTCCTACAGAGTTGGTCCTTTTTATTTGTTTTTAGAGTGCCTGCCCAGAACATAACTAATTGTAGCATAAATAAAGGATCTATTTTACTGGCATTTAAAAAAGACCCATTTCCACACTTTTGATATATTTTGAAAAACTTTTCAAAATTTAAAACTTTGTAAAATTTAAATAGATATAGAGTCTTGACCTGGGAATAGCTGAGGTTTTTCCAGAAGGACCCTGGAACACCTCAAAAGATTTGGTTTCTCTCCTTACAAATGACAAAGATCAAACTAATCAGGCTGATTTTGGTGTGTTGAAATTAGATGGCAAGCATCGTCAAATAAAAAATAACACTGAGCATTCTTTATGTTTTATAGTATGTATTATCAGTGTTGCAGAAATTGCTGGAAATATGTCTCTCACCAAAATTGAGTGACACACTAAAATGATTGAACCTGAGTATCAGAGTGTGACACGTGTGGATGAAATCCATCCTGTTTTTGCGCCCAAATACCCCTCATTGCCACACTTTCTCCAGCCTGATGTTCTTATAGCATGCAACAGTTTATTCCTAATGAGAGAACTATATGGGTAAACACTGACTGTAAATTGAATAGTCGGTACTATGGGAAACCCAAGAGAGCTGCTTGGTTAACCCAGCTTCATCCACCATAGTACATTTAAATGGGACTTCATTCAACTGCCATTTGTTGTGGGTTATCAATATGTTCTTATTTTTGTGCATATGTTCTCTGGGTAAGTTGAAACTTTTCCCTCCCACAAGACTGATGTCCTCACAATGGCAAAGAAACTTAGAAAATGTGTTTCCCACATGGGGTACACCTTCCACAATCTCTAGTGTGATTGGGGTGCCCACTTCACTGAGCAAATCATACATACCTTAGGGTTCTTGGCACGTGGGTCCTTAGGCAAGAGGGTCACTTTAGGTTACTCGTTAGCTGGACAAGGAAGTGTTTGTGCAGTGGCCAGCTCATCATGGTGTGAGTCCTGGAAAACATAGTAATGAAAGTTACTCTTTTTTTTTGTCTTAAACACCCAAAATGCCCTCTCTAAGGTGCAAGGACCACTGTGGAAGAGGTAGGCATGTGAGATAGTAAGAGCCAGGTAAGAGCAGCACAACGAGCAGGCAGATCTGACTCCATCTTAAAGCTAATCCTCCCTCTCAATTGAACCTGGACCCAGTTGCCCTGTTTTCCTCAAGAATGAGGAATGAACAACAAAAAGGAGGGAACGCTCTTTTGTGAAACGCTCCACCTTTATGACTCCAGGCCTTTGTTCAATAGCTTCTGCTCAGTCTTGCATCTAGACATGCTAATCATTAGAGGAATTCTGCTTTTGGCTTGAGTTTTACAAAACAATCCATACTTCCTTGGGAGATAAGGGAAGTATACATTGTTTAACAAAGGTTTGCAGGAACCTAGTAATTAGACTCACATCATCTAGGGACTACAGACTAAGCACAACCCTCCTTGGACCTCTGCTGGCACCCAGATGTCTCCTGTAGTCAATTATCTCTTGCCACTCTTGTTTCCCCCTTCCCTTGACATAAAAGAAGCCTGCATTTTGTACTTTCTTAAGATGGATTTGAGCTACCTGTAAGTCTCCTATCTT